GGTCTTTCCTGCTTATTCCGGGTCATTCCTGCCTATTCCGGGTCTTTCCTGCTTATTCCGGGTCATTCCTGCCTATTCCGGGTCTTTCCTGCTTATTCCGGGTCATTCCTGCCTATTCCGGGTCTTTCCTGCTTATTCCGGGTCATTCCTGCCTATTCCGGGTCTTTCCTGCTTATTCCGGGTCATTCCTGCCTATTCCGGAATTACAAACATGTCAAGGATGGCTAAATGATCACTTCTCGAGCCTCAAGAAATGCAAAGCGGAATTCCGGAATTAGTGCACAACGGTAATCATTGGGATATGCAGGAATTCCGGGTCATTCCTGCTTATTCCGCAAATACAAACATGCCATGGATGGCTAAATGATCATTTCTCGAGCTTCAAGAAAAGGAAAGCGGAATTCCGGAATTTCTGCACAAACGTAATCAGTGGGATCTGCAGGAATTCCAGGTCATTCCGGGATATTCCGGGTCATTCCTGCAGGAATGTGCAAGAATATGCAAGAATATGCAGAAATGTGCAGGAATTCCTGGTCATTCCATATAGATGCAATTCCGGTATTCAAAGGAGAATTGCATCTTTATTTCTTTTGCAATGTTAGGTAGATGATGAATACATGTATCTATGCAGGAATATGCAAGAATATGCATGAATGTGCAGGAATTCCCGGTCATTCCATGTAGATGCAATTCCGGAGTTCAAAGGGGAATTGCTTCTTTATTTCTATCGCAATATTAAGTAGAAGATGAATACATGTACCGATGCAGGAATATGCAGGAATGTGCAGGAATGTGCAGAAATGTGCAGGAATTCCCGGTCATTCCATGTAGATGCAATTCCGGAGTTCAAAGGGGAATTGCTTCTTTATTTCTATCGCAATATTAAGTAGATGATGAATACATGTACCTATGCAGGAATATGCAGGAATATGCACGAATAGGCACGAATGTGCAGGAATGTGCAGAAATGTGCAGGAATGTGCAGAAATGTGCACGAATGTGCAGGAATGTGTAGAAATGTGCAGGAATTCCTGGTCATTCCATATAGATGGAATTCCGGAATTCTAAAACCGAATTGGTTCTTTGTTTCTATCGCAGTGTTAAGTAGAATATGAATAGATGTACGTATGCAGGAATGTGCAGGAATGTGCAGGAACGTGCAGGAATGTGTAACTTTGCGGAATAGGATGACTGCTCTATTAAAACACGTCGCTTTATCACACAAATCGGCTTACTTTGTCTAAACTGCTTAAATTCAAAACAAAAAAAAACACACAACATAAACCGTATACTACAAATAACATAATAGACCAAAACAACAATATACATCAGTCTACAGTAGATTCCATGATAAACCTCCAAAATGATCTACTTCTGAAAGTGTTTGTAATTCAACTTAGATTTTGCTTGATGACTTCTAACAGACAATAGTAACATCCAACGAAGAATGAAATTTCACATGTAAAACAAATCGTCGAGCGAATCTAGACAAGTTTACTGATAAAACATTGCTGCAAGTTCACTATTTACGATCAAATCTTCCTTTTTTTAGCCCATGAACACTATTGAAAATAGCCAGTACCCATTGATAGAAAATTGGTGACCGAATGATTCATCGCGAGTGTATGGCTATGGGATTGAATAGGCGTGTGAATGTAAGCAAATGGTTTAAAATGTCGATGAGGGTGCACAAAAAATCCGCATCCACACTCATATTGCCGGATTGGATAGTAACTTTGCCTACGTGACTAATATTTATGTCTTATAAGATAATTATAGAGTGTAAAGATTTTTAGAGATAAAATGCTGTTGAACATTTTCGATGGTGTATTTTTTCTTTAAGATTTGACATGAAAATGTCTTTCCTTTGTCTTCGTTTTTATTCGATAATTATTAATATGGTAAGATAATTGTACTAACAATAGCATCAGCAACATTTAATTCTACATTATCTCGTTCAATATTTTGTTGTCTATTTTCTGCTTCTCGTATTGGTTTAAAATTTTTGCAATACATCTTGTAGAATAATCGTTTCATTTCTTGTCGAAAAGCTTTTGATACACTAATAAATATGAAAAAACTAGCACAATATGGAATATGATGAATAAAAGTACCAAAACCAGAAAGAAAATTGTCAATAGTTTGATGAAATGATGTACGTATTTGATCTTTTGTTGCTGCTGCATAAACATAATAAGCAGCTACAAAAACATTGAAAATAATATAAACAATATCATGTACATAAAGACAAAAAAGAAGTTGAAAATCTTTTTTATGCATTATTCGAAGTTGTTGTCGTTGTTGACGTGGAATAGCTTGAAGTTGACGAACATTTTTAAATGCTAAAATAGATAAAATAATTAATACTAAAGCTAAACCAACAGCAATAATCAATGTTGAATACGAAATAAATTCAAAATAAAATCCTGAAGTATCATAATAACAAGTAAAACCAGATGAATCTATTCGACGAACACCAATTTTAATTAAAACATGAATATAGAAAATAATCCAAAAAATCGTACTGACACTAACCAAAAAATAAGCTAAACGTTTCGAACTATATAAACGTGTATCAATATTTTGAGAAGAAATTAATAGACGATCAATTGATGCTAATATAAGAATATTAGGTAAAAGTACAGAAAAAAGATATGATAAATAATAGAAAATTTTGCATAAAACAACATTTGAATTTTCTGTATGAATTTTAAAACCAAAAGTAAAACTTGATCCAAGCATAGTAGTATTAATATAAGCGAAATTAACTACTAAACAATTTAAAAAGTAAAATACACAAACATTTTTTTTCCATGTTTTTTTAAAAAATATCAAAGCAGTTAATAAGCTTCCAATATTTCCCAATAAATAAAGAATCAATGTAACATATCGATATAAATAAATAATAATATTGTCAAGTATATCAATATTATTAGTCATGACTATTTTCAAATAATAAATTATGTGTAAACATGTTTTAGATTTTCAAATAAATTTCTATAATAGAATAATAACATTAAGCTTTTTATCAAAATCGATCGTATAATATGTATTTGACTTCGTTTAAAAACGATACATTCATCGTGTTTTCTGTTAAATATATTACTAAGAGAGTTTTATCAAATACGATCTATAAGCAGTGTTAAAGTATATAGAATAGAACTTCAACCTGCGACTCCACCACCGACTATACAAGATGTTGCCGATATACGATCAAAGATCATACATAAATAATGTCTTGTTATAATATATGAACTATTTTCTGATTCTAGTTCTGGAGAAATAGGTTAGACTACAATGTCTTACAAACTTGTTTTTTTATTCTTACTTTTTACACGGACAAAACGAATGAATAGTTCAATACGTTGAAAATTCTTAAACTCGCACGTACCCAGAAATTTTCTGAGGGAATGGCCCAAAGTCCTTATGGGGGGGGGGGGGTCTTCGGTAAGTGCCTGTTCTTAAAAAATGGTAATTCGTTTATAGACGAGCATTTTTATATGATTTTTGCAAAGAAAGTAATTGGCTAAAATGAAGCTCCTTCGAGATATCTAATATGTACGATAAGAAAAACATAAACATAGTAAAAACAACGAAAAAGACTTTGTTTTTCTTCAAAAAACCAACCGTATTTGTAAGATGTTATACTGTTGATGCATTATTGGACCTCAATCTATCCTCCCATGCATCTATCTTGATTTCAACTAATCTGACGAAAGTAGACATTCTTTGAGAGGGAGAAAGAGAGGTTAAACCTCTTGAATAATCTTTATCATTAAGAATGAGTCAAAGAATAAATTGTTAATGATCCTTACTTTTCGTATGTTTAAAGAATTAGCGTATTTTCTTGATTACTTCTATATAATGAAAGTTAAACATCGGCACCCATAAAAAAAAGTAGCGTTCTATATAATTTCATTTGATCAACATATGGAATAAAGATACAACCTTTTGCTTTCTCTACTAACAGAGAATGTCTATAATTTTTTTTTTCTTTGCATTTGAGGACAAAAAAAG